TTGGTTTTGTTGGGTGTCCCTGGCAGCATCAGAACTGTCCAGAATAAAAGAAGGAGCAACATGAAAATCACAGCCCATCTGTCAGTATGGCTCAGCCCCAGCCAGGGTTTTGGGGACGAGTTTCAAGTTTTCTTAGTAGTATGCAGACATGAGATTTGATTCTGATCTTGTATACACATGTATGGTTCAGGAACAGGCAAAAAAGGAGTTTTCCTTGTATAAGAAACGGCTAGGACCCCAAGGACCTGCCTTCTCATACACTGTGTCTGGGCCACCCTTCGCCTTGGCTATAATGTTTCACTGACAGGTGCCAGCTGTCAGCAGTGAACGACTGTCTCAAACAGTGAATGCTAACAGACCCTCTTCCACTCGGACTTTATGAAAATGGCAGCGCATATAAGTAAGAATAGAGCTGAAGCTGTCTGGAAATCTCTTAAGTGCTGGTGAGATAATCATCAGCAGCGTGTCTTTTCTCTTGCTGCCACGCTGAGAGATGCCTGTCCCTGGGCAAGGATGGAGCCACCTCAAGGCAGGGTGCTTTTCAGCACAGTCCCCCTCTGCCTCCACAGTGATAAGCTAGGAGATGCTCAGCTGGCCCCAGGATCCTTCCATGCTTTGTAATTGAATTAATAACCGTCTTAAAACTGCCATGCCAACCAGCAATCTGTTTCCTTCCCTACAGTACACAGCATGGTCACTGGTTAAATTAAGTGACTCCGGTAAGTGTGATGTTTTATGCAAGAGTAACTTCCAGCAGGGAACGGCCAGCTCAGCTCTCCTGGGCTTGGAGGAAGCAGCCCTTTACCTGCAGCTCCTGGGGTACATCTCATGTTCAGGCTGCTCCTGCATGCGGAGATGAGGGCGAGACAGGAGAGGGGCTCCACTAATTGGCTCAGTCCGTTCTGAGCAGCTGGTTGCAGGCTGCTCCTGGTGCTCATACATTGGCAATTAGCTGGGTCCTCTGCTCCGGCCAGCACTGGACGTGCTACTGCAGGGGAGCTGTGTTCAGAAGGACCCTGATGGTCCCTGGGTCACACAGAGAGGGGCTAACTACAGCCTGTAGCTAGTACATTGGTAAGGGAATAAGAGAAGCTCTGTTCTGAGGTTCGTAACCTCTCCAGATCGATGAAGGTGCCTTTTTCCTTCTAGTATAGTTGTATTCTCAAAGGAGAGATTTGTGTAAGCTGGAAATCTCTTCTCTCAGTTGGGTCAGCAGCAGCTGTGCTGAGCTAGTCTCAGCTGGAAATAACTCTCTGCTGACCAGCAGTTAAAATAATCATAATTCAATGCAGAATTAATAAGAAAGTAGTGTATTAATTTTGTTCTGGTAGATAATAGTGAATGGATTAAGGCATAGCAGCTTTGCATTTTGAGATTAATGGGTAGTATGTGGTAAATATTTTGCATTTATTTAACAAATAAAATGCATATTATTCATACTCGTATGAGTACCTCTCCTCACAGGAAGCTGTTTCCCAGCCAAACCAAGTTAGGCTCATCCTCCCTTCTTATTCCTCCCATAGCCTGTATCCCTGTTGCTATCCTCTGCTGTCCCTTTTTCTCTGCCAAGGTTATGGACTACAACTGGCAGCCATTGATTTTCTCATTTGTAACCAATGCCAGAAGTTCAGACCAGTTTTTAACTACAATTCCAAGAGGTCTGATTAGTGTTGGGGGTGAAATGTCTGGATCTCACTCATTAAGCAAGCAACTGTTAGATTAAAGTAGTAAATAGTTACAAGTTCAGCATATGGTTAGAAGTGAGGACTGAGAGCAAAGCAGAGCAGCAAATCTTGGTCTTGCTGAGCTGGATGATCTGGGCTATTTCTGTCACCCTAAAATTGTCATTTTTAATGTTACCAAAACAGGTACCTCCCTCTGGCTCTATCTTTGGGGTAGGGGATAAGGCAAACACAAAATAAAGGTGTTCAAGCCTGCAAGCCAAATCCGCAAGAAGCAGAGTGACCCAGTCAGTTTGGGTTTTCTTTTGTTGTTCCGAATATGCTGAAAGCAAGATCTGGAAAGCTCAGGTGTCCAAGAGGTTGAACACTTTCACTTTGTTTTGAGACCCACGCAAGAGCTTCAGAGACCAAAACAGCATAAATGCTACTGTTGAGCTATCTGCTTTACGAAGGCATCAGCAGCGATCCTTTTGTTGAGCACTGACAGCATATTCATAGCTTTGTAGCTCTGACCACAGCCTGAAGCCTGGCACATGAGAAAGTTGGGAAACTAATTGGTTTTGTAAGAAACCTGGACACACAAAAGCACATAATCAAAGTGGTTATTTTTAAAGAGCAGCTTTCTGAGGAATGAGGGGACAGAGCTTTGGCTAGCCTTAGACTTCAAGATTTTCTATGGCTTTTACTCAATGGAGAAAGGCCAGAGAGATTTTTAGACTCTCCTGACAACTTTGTCCATTAGAGGATCTTCTCTATGCATTTTATTAGTTTTAAAGCTCTTAGTATCCCTGGGATGGCATCATTTCTGTAATATGGTGGAGGGAGGGGGGAGTTACAGAGCCAGCCTCCCAGGGCCAGAGGTGACAAACGGAGCCTGGAGGCTTTGAGCCCTGTCTTCACCCACTCAGGAGTGTTTCCTTGAGCCTTGTCTATAGCTGACATAATTTTGTCCCTGGTTCCTTGCTCGTATTCCCAGTGAGGCTTTCCCTTGGTCTCAGCTTGGCTTCTGAGATCCATTGCATCATCAGCCAAAGGTCAAGGGAAAACAACCCTCCTAGGGTTTTGCACCGAGTCATTTTTTATGGGCTCAGCTTGAACGGAGAGCAAGTTGCATGAACTCAGCTGGTAAATGGGAGAGTCCAACTCTGCTTTGCTCCCTCTACCAGATTTGGGTCAGACTGATTTCCAAACAGGCTAATTGCCTCCCAATCTAGGCCAGCCACCCCTCCCTCTTCCTCCTCAGGGACCCAGAGAACATTAAAAGGTAATTAGATATTTATAAGGACAGGCGAGCAGTCTCTTCCTGGGATGATGAATTAGCTTGAAGACATTATCTAATTCTCAGCTGCTGAAATGAAATGTCTCGCTGCTGAAAAGGGGCCTTCAAAGTGCAGCCCGAGACTCCCTGAGATCCAAAAATCATCCCAGATGAGTGACGAATGGGGGAATCTTTGCAGCCAGGGCATAGCAAAAAAGGCATCCCTAGAAGAGCTGGAGAGCGAGGCAGCTTTATCTTCAGAGAGCCCTGCTGGTAGGATGCAATTCATCCTTGTGCAGAGGCCAGAACAAAGCCTAGGCAGCAGGGTCTCCAGAGAGGTATTAGTTGTGCCAAGGCCTTGCCTGTGCCTTTGCATCTCCTGTCTTCACCTAATTTTGAATTCAGAAAAGAGGAGACTTGTTTGCAGTATGTCAACCATTCCTATTCTCTTTCTCTGCATAGTACAAAAGAAGTTGGACATTTCACAGACATGTTCTTTGGGTGTATAAAGCACCCGGGAGAAACAGGCTTCAGCACTGCTGCAATCACAGAAGTCTTGTGCAGACCACAGAAAGATTCATCCTCTCTGAGCAATGCAACGTGTCCATCACACGCCCCAGGCATGTCCCACTTGGCATGTCTGGCAGGGACCGAGCACCCTGGTTGGGTCCCTCGCCACGGTGTCTCTGCTGGCCCATGGAAAGCCCTGGGCGAGGTGCTCACCCGAGCCAAGAGACTGTTCTTACCCATACAGGAGATGACAGCTAGAGATGTGAAAACAAATTCTGTAGCAGCTCCCATCCTGGGCCTCCAGTTGGGGTTACAGCCTGCTTAGTCGTGTCTCTCTGGATAAGCGGGGACAGCAACCCTGCAAGAGAAAGGAAAAGATGGATTATTTGCAGCATTTGTGTGGCTGTATTTCAGAGCCCAGTGTCCAGCTGTGAGTCCCCACTGGCTGCCTGTCTGGCGCAAGAATTGCTCAGTACGGAGCATCCAGCTGCCTGACGAGGAAAACACAGGGGTTTGAAGGAGCTTTTTTCTTTTTCTTTCTGACATGACAGAACCAGTTGGGAAATTATTCCTCCTGCTCCTTTTACTACCTGCCCTTCTTCCTCCCCCCTCCAAAAGTAATGCTAGGAATAAATGTTCAGATTTTTATTTAAAAACCTGCAAAACACAAGCATATACGATATTGGTGGGGGGAGGTGGGAGAAAGAATTTGTTGTTGTTATTTTGTGAAAAATTCATCTTTGATTGAAACTCTTTAGACAAGCAGCACCCGAGCGACTCTGCCTTTGGGTATCCCATTCCATCCTCTTGTTTTTGAGAGGTTAGGGAGGGACCCAACTCATCACCTTACACTGCTACCTAATTGCAGGGCTGGTGTGGAAGGCTGGATGCACAAAGTGGCTCTTTAGGGAGGTCTCGGTGAGGTTGAGCTGCAGCCTGCTGGGTCATTTTCTGATTTTCTTCAGTGAAGCCTTTAAATAGTTAAAACAAGCGCTAGGGGAGTGCCAGGGCATTTCGTGATGCCATGAGACACATTAGTGAGTGGAGCAGTGTTTTCCAGTTCCCTCTGTGGACTCCTGTTTTCCATGTTCTCTCGAGGATAAAAGAAAGCAAAACACACAGAGCTGTTTGTGCCGTGCCCGCTGCCCCGGTCCCTGCTGTCACGCCTGGCAAACTCCGCCGGGCTGCGTGTGATTCTCTGGGGCTAAATCTACCGTTGGAGCAACGTCTCACCTCTTTCCTTCTAACACAGGTGGGGACGCCAGGCTGTTTTTTGCTCTTTGTTAACAAATATGGCTTTTGAAGTGAAGCAGCAAGGAACCCCCCAGCCGTGGGGAGCCTTGGTCCCTTGGTGCTCTCCCTAGCGCACGCCCCCGTAAACTGCTGCTCGAGGCACTGCCAAGAGCTGGGCTGCTCGTGGGCTGCGGGTGCTGCTTTTCCCTCTGCTCCGGCTGGTATTGCTTCCACTTCTCCGTGCCCATCTGTTTGCTGGAGCCAGCTAGTGCTGATTCGAAGCTCCTCCGAGCAGGGATTAGGTTTTTATGCTGTGGGACCCAGCCCCCTGTGCATTACTGCTTTAAAAAATACAGCGCAGTACTTATTAATAACAGCAGTTGGAACACACGTCGACAAATACAGTGATAGTCCCATGCCTGCTCCCACTTCCTGACTCCAGGGACTCATGCTGGGGCTGCAAAAGCCACCTGGCCTCTTTCTGTCCCCTGTAACCTCATCCTGCTCCTGACACTCTAAAGAGAGAGAGGTGGCCAAATCCCAAATTCTCTGTTGGGCTGGAGAGCTTGATCGCAGCTTCTCCTTCCAGGTTGGAGAGCGCAGCCTGCCTGCCTTTTGCTGGCTTAGGCTATAATTAAGTACTTTTTATATAATGGACCCCTAAACATGGCTGGAGCTTAATTGTCCTCCCTGGCCAGGGCAGGAGGACCCCTGCCTAACGTAGTCCCAGGTGCCCGGTGGGAGAAGGGGAGAGCTGTTGTTGTATCCTCCTTACAGACAGGCAATTTAGAGACAAAGAGGTGAAGAAAGGCTGAGGCTCATTTACATGAAAGCTGCTTCACACAGTTTGTTCCAGAAGCCCTGAAGTGAGTCAGTCATATGAAATCACTTGATGTCAATGAGACTCATGCCCCAAATGGTGCACTAAACCCACGGCCTTTTAGCTAACACTGGCTCATTGTTTCACTGCCTTCACACTCGGCCTGCTTCTCTCTCATGTGTCTTGTGCTTACATCGTAAGCACTTTGGGACAAGGACCATCTTTTTGCTCAGGCTGTACAGCATGTAGCACTGTAGACTCCTGATCTGCAATGTGGGCTTGCAGGCAAGATCATCGCTATACTAATTAATAAGTTAACTATCCCAAATCTCTTCAGCTTGGTTTCTTTACCAGTGTGTCACGATGCCCAGAGGCAGTGAGCATTGAAATTGTTCTTGCACCCCATAGCAGGAAATTAAAATAAAGAAGAGTCTCGTTCTTTCTGTCCCAGCGCTGTCTTCTGAGGCTCACAGTCCTCTATCAGCACCTTGGGATGTGCACACAGAGATGCTGCCTGGCTGTCACTTTGCTCTCGTCTCTTCATTTTTCCTCTCATTTTTAAAACAAATGTGAAGGGAAGGAGCAGGGGGTGTTGGATTTCTTTGTTATTTGTAATAAGGAGCAGCCAGTTTGAGAAGGTTTGGGAACGCTGGTGCTGACCGTCCTCTCTAGGAGACATAGAAAGCTTCCTTTGGTGAGTCAGGGCATCAGCAAAGCCTCAAAGCTACCTGCAGAGCAGAGAGATCAGTAATGAGGTGCTGCCTGCTCCTCTGTCACTTTTCTGATTTTATTAGCACTTTACACTTTCTACTTTATAAAATACAGATGCGGGATTGGAATGAGAGCAAATTGCATCCTGCCTCTCCTTGGTGTTTTAGCCTTAAACAGTTGTCCCAAAGGTATGTATGTGTCTGGGCTGAGATCTCATCAGGAGGGAAAAGGAGGGTGAGTGATGATAACCTTCTGCATGTATACTTCTGCCAGCTTCCCCCTACGGCTTCCTTCCCTGTGGCTGAGCAAAGCTGTTATGTTGTAAAAATTAAGCTGGTTTGAATTATTTAATCAGTTATTGATTAATTATTTATTATGTAAACCACAACTTTGATCCCCAGTTCTGTGCTGACTCTGACTCTACAGCTTGCATCTTTTGACCCAGACCCCTTCTCTGTTTCCTATTATCAAATATTTTTTTTAGTTCCTTGTGTCCCTTACTTCTCTTTCTCCAAAATCCTCCACGTGCATACAAAGATATTTTTGCTATGCGGACCTGAAGCACTCAGGCACCTTTCCAAAGGTAAAACTCCAGGGAGAGGTGCTATGCTGCTACTCTGCTGATTATGATGGGGATATCAGAAAGGGACTCTCAGAGAGGCAGGCAAGAAGAGGTGCTGCTCTGCTGCTCTTCTGAATCTAGCCTCACTCTGGCCTGTACTTTGGCTCCTTTGCAGAAATTGGGAACGTGATATACAGGGAGAGCTCCCGGTGTGGTCCACATGAAATGAACATGTAAGAGAGTAACAGAGCAATTTCTACAAATGCTGATGCTATATTTGTTCACAATTAGACACAGGATCAAGTTATCCCCTCAGATGTTGTTCTGCATGTTTCTGCTTGTCTTGTCCCCCAAGCGTCATGATCAAATTATGCTGTAGAGCCTGACTGCAAGATCACACCTGGAGCTACATTTGTACTCCCTCAATGCTAAGGACTATGGGGCCATCTTTGAATAATGACCCCGAAGCATGAATTCTGCATCTGACTCTGAACTTCTCAAGTGTGGATGTGTGCTTTGCATCTGATACTTAGGCCTGCTCTCTATCCTTAATTAGAAGACGGCCCACAGGGACTTGTTCTTTCCCCTCTTCATAGGGTATTTTGACAGTCACTGCAGAACCTTCTGTTGTACTGAAAGGGGATCTGTCATCCCTGCTAATGGATGCTGTCATTAATACGTCCACCAGCAAGGGAGGGATGGGCACATTCAAAAACACATGCGTAGGCTACTTTAGCCATTTCCCTTGGAGCCCCTGGGAGCTGAAAGTGATCCATTATCATGGAAGCAGTGTTATAGGTAAAGAGCTCTAGGGATATTTTGAATTCTCCCGAGCCTTTCCCCATCCTGCTGTTTCCCAGGCTCCCTTGTTATCAGTTCTGTCTTTGGAACAGCATCTTTGGGAGAAGGTCACTCTAGAAGGGGTCAAAGTGCCTCTGCTGGGCCTTACTTTTCCTTTTGTGGATGTGCGGTGGCCCAGCCCAGTGCCACATCTCTGCCGTGTCGCTCCCTGGGAGTTTTGGAGAGCATCCCTCGCTGTAGTTGCTCAGATTCGCTCTGACACAAGCAGGTGCAGCAGGGCCCTGCAACCCTCCGGGGCTGCCAAGCTGGGCGCTCTGCCTCCTCAGCCGGCACTGTGCTGGGCTTGTCAGCTCCCAGCCTTAGGTGAGGAGACGGGCTTGAACAAGGCAAAGAGTGCAATCCATTACGGGGATAAATGAGTGTTATTTAATCTCCTGTGGTTGGGTGATGAGATGAGCATTTGCATTTAACTGCTGCTGCTGTTCCTTCTGCAGCAGCGTTCCCTAATGAAGGAATATTCCTGGCTCTGGCATTGATGGTGGATGATTTAGGAGTTTGTCCCATGCTATGAGTGTCCATTTTATTAAAGATCATCACTAAAGCTGGAAAGGGCACACATTGGATCTTTGCTGGGTTTTGGCTTGCACAACATTCGGTACATTTTGCCCATCTCCAGAACACCATGTTTCCGTGATTGGAAATGGTTTTATTATAAAGTATCTGTCCTTTCATAAAACTGTCTGTGCTCAGGCGAAGAGGTAGGTGTAGATGCAAACTCTGGATTCAGACTGTCCTGTCACTTCTCCCTCGGCTCATCAGTAACCCCACAAAGATTGCCAAAACCCAGTTTGTGGTCGCTGGCGGAAGCCTGCCTCTCTGGGCAACTCAGAGACCTCTTGGGCCCATTTGCCCATGCCCTGATACACAGGGCCCTGGCATCGCCCGGAGGAGCTGGGCAACGGTGGGACAGGCTGAGGACTGCGCTCAGGTCATTGAGGAACAGGCTCTGTGTGTTGTGATAGCATGAGATGAGTTAAAACTGGTGCGAGGAGCAGCAAGCTTAAAGAAAGAAGCACAGCCCGCCGGGGCTGCTTCTGCGTGGGATTACGAGGGGAGCAGATGGTGCTTACAACCAGTCGCTCATTCTCTACTGGCGGCACCCTGTGGGGTTGCCGTAATGCCAGCCGGGCGATCTGGTGCGGGAATTAGAGGCTGTGCTTTCTGGATTCATTTCTTCTCTCCTGATGGGCCGAGGCTGCAGCGGGAACTCTGCGAAAGCTGGAGAGAAACGTCGGGCCTCCCTAGACAGTGCCGCGCCGGCCGGTTTCTGCCACCATGGGGGGACTTTGGTGAGTTAACACGGTAGCCCGCAGCCTTTGGGCAGGGACGCTCCCAGCCCAGCATCGTGGATTAAACCAGGTGTTTTCAGTCTGTCTAACAGGCACACCTGCCTCTGGCAAGGGGGCTTTCGCAGCGGGGTCGGGCGGCACGCACACAGGGAAGGCGACGTTCGCTGGCCGTGCTGCGTGACAGCCTGGGCACGGGGGACAAGGGGACACAGTTCCCGACAGCGGCAGCGAGCGCTGGGCCTCCCCCGTGGTGGGATGGGAGCAGAGCAGCCAAGCAGCGAGCAAGGGGCTGTTACAGACCGAGCTGAGCCAGAGCCCGATGCCCCCAGGTGTGAGCAATTCCCATCAGCCCTTATTAGCAAAATTACACGCAAAATTGTTTGGTGCAGAGATCGGGGAATGCGCTGGAAAGAGGTAAGGGGAGGAGGGAAAGAAGATAGGAAAAAGTTTAATTTTGGGGTGTTAAAGCCTGAGAGGAGGAGGGTGGGGAGGTGAGTGTGGCCAGGAGGCTGTTAGGAGGGGACGGGTGCAGGGGTTTCCCCCCCAGCCTGGCTGGGAAGGGCAGCCTGAGCTCTCAGAGGGCCTGTGTAGGTGTGGGCTCATTTTGGGGGGAACCAGCTGCTCCCTTTGGGCACTCTTGTTTCCCTGTGTGGTCCATAGTTGTCGCTCTGCTCCGTATTGCTCCATGTCATGTGCTCAGCGCCTGCGGCTGCTTTGGGGTGCCCCATCCCTGCCCTGGCTGCTCTGTGGTCCTAACCCCCGGCATGGCCTTTACCTCTGGGTGTTGTCCCCAACAGCAGCCTCCAGCATCCTGCCTGCCTCTGGGAGCTGTTGGTGAAACATGTTAGATGTTTTTAGAGATGAAGTCAAGGAGCAAAATCCCAATCCAGGTATAGCACACCATGAAAACCTGCTCTGCTTGTCATTAAAAGAAAAGCTAGTTGCGTGCATTGGACCCCAAACTGGGGCGCTTCTAAAACCTGGAGGTTGGATTTTGTTTTAGTTTGGCTCTGGCTCTATTTTATATTTATTTTTTAATGGGATTTGTGCTGTGGTCCCACCTTGCGGAGGGTACGCAGTAATGCCGCAGGCCTGCTAGCAGCGCGTTTGCATCTGGAATAATTCTGAATTGCCATATCCATGGAAACGAATACACTGCTCCCTTCGACGTGAGCGTTTAGAGAGATGCCGCTCCTGCTTCCCCGGCAGAGCCGGCCTTGCTGGGCCAGAGCTCTACGCTGCGTGGATAGGCCCTAATCAACTTCGCTGGGTAGCGCGTCAGGCTGTAGGGTTTGGTCAGCGCAACAGGCGGAGGCGAGAACCTCGCACCTGAGCGCGGTGCTTAAAACACCCGGTGACTGAACGGCCCACGCAGGGAAATCAGCTGGTCGATGTAAATGCACGTCAGCACGGGATGGTACCCACGCGCGTGCTCAGCCGCACGTGTGCGTGGAATAACAGGGCGTTTGTGACTGGTCAGTGGTGACTCCTGTGCTGCTGGGTTTATTAAAAGTCCTCAGTGACTTGGCTTGTAGGAGGCTGAGAGCTGCCTGCTCAGGAGGGAAAAGGCTTTGGGGCTGGTTTCCGAGGCTGCGAGGTGAACTCGGGAGGGGGAAGCACGGGGAGGGGATGCTCGCAGCCCGGCCGGGCTGGCAGCAGCTCCCCGGCGTTAGCTGGGCTGCCCAGGTTGGGTGCTGCTCCCCCGAAGCGGGCAGTTTAGACTATGTTACCAAAAAACCTGAGAAAGACAAGAGAAAAACCCTGCTGAGGGAAGGCCCTGCTCCTCGGGGCACTTGAAGCTGTACTTGAGCAAATAAATCACGAAGGTGCGTTAGGAGCAGCCTTGCGCTGCGGGGAGGAGTCTGATTCAGTCAAACTCTTGCCTTTTGCATCAATTTTTTTGTTAGATGGGCCTGTTTTTCACAGTAACACAGCAGGTTGGG